CAAGGGCAAACTGCGCTTTTTGGAAACGGTTTCTTGCATATTGTAGGGACGCATGTATGGACCACAAAACCATGTTTCGTTTTCGCTGAACGGTTTTAGTAGTATCAAAAAAGTGGTGAATAATACTCTTGATGGTTCGATCCCCCGCGGCGACTAAATTTTGCAATCAAGGTTGGCGGCCACTTGTTGGCTTCAAAATGGTCCTGACGACACATCTGATTTTGATATTTAGCGCGATTTGGCACCAAACCGTAGGCGCCAACGCCTGGTTTTGTGGTCCCTACATGCGTCCCTACAGTATGCAAGAAACCGTTTTGAAAAGGCGCGGTTTGCCCTGAAGGACCCTCTTTGTGAGAGCCGGTAAATGGGCTATTCAAATCCATTTCCATAATGGCGCTGTAATCTTCATTCATTGAGGAGTTATTGTCTTGAGTGCAAAACTTCATATTCTAGAGAAAAAGGCCGAGGTAATCGTTGAAGATAAGCTGAACAACTGAGAAATCTGATACTCTCTCCTTTTGATGAGTACAATGTTCGCAAAGAGTGTAGGGAATGTATGGAAGGAAACTTATGAGAAAAATTGCAAAAAAAGGACTGACAATGTCAGAATAGTCGTTCCTAAACAATGAGGTCGGACGGGCGTGACTTCCACCCTTTCTGCACAGAACGTGTTTGGAAATCTGGGACACCGTTGCTGTGCACACCTGTTTGCCCTATTGTTTTGCACGCTATCTCAATCTAGTGAAATATGGTCTCACCTAAACTATTTCTAAAGGCACAGGTATTCCTGCAAGAAAACGTTCCACGCTGAACGAATGGACAAGGCTTGTTGGGTCAGCCATTCTCATAATTAGCACCTTTTTTCTGAAATTATTAGAAGAAGGAGCCCAGAGGAGCGCCTACCAATAAAGCCGAGAGCAGGACCGACTCACTAAGGAAAGGAATGCCCTGTATCAACTGACTCCGCGTATCGTTTAGCGTGTAGTGTGCTTTTTTTAATGTCTTCGTTATTTCGGCTAAATGTAATATCAAGGGTACCCCCCAGGAGGCCCGTCGCGCGGCAAGAAGGCAGAGTCGGCGGACGAGTTGCAGCGCGTGGTGTGCGATGTAGGACGTGCAATGGGACACTCTATTTAACTTGACGCGAAATCCCTATAGTACGCGCGCGACTCGTCCGCTGACTTTGCCTTCTTGCCGCGCGACGGGCCTCCTGGGGGTACCCTAATATTGATGCGCAAAAGTACATGCCGCGAGTCAGCGCACACCACAATTGGCAGCCATTTAATCCGTCGAGTGCTGTGCTCTCGTCTGCGCCCTCTTGTCCAAGTAACGGCCACCAGAAGCCACTCGAAAGTCCAAATACAAGCTTGTCCAAATTAACGGCCACCCGAAGTCCAAATGCAAGCGCGTTGTGTCACATCTTATGGTTAGACGAGACACTGCATACGAAAGCGAAAAATGTATTGTGCAAGGTATGGGCTAAAGAGCTGCAAGTTTTCGCGCGCGTAAGAGGTGTGCGCGCGGTAAGTGCGACGTACGCGCGTAAGCGCGACGTGTTTCAATACATGCCTGACGAGTTTTGCTTCTTGACTTTTTCTTCTTCGGAGAAGAATAAATCATCTCAGAGATGAGAGAACATATAGCCAAAAAAAATCTACTTGTATTGAACTGGACGAGTAAGGTAACTGTCAGACTTTGCGACGAAGCGCGAGCGGAACGCGCGATTTGCCAGCGATTCGAACAAATCGAGCGATGCGCCAGCGACTCCAGCTATGCGTTGGCGATAAATCACTGACGCTTGCTCGTGCCCTTAAATCGCTAGGGAACACGCAACTCGCTAGCGACTGGTCGCAAAGTCTGACATCTGCCTGAGCAAAGCTTTGATTATCAAGTAGCCGAACAGTTCTCGTTAGGAGAAAATGAGTAGTGATCTCAGTTTTGATTCGCTTTCAGACCTCTGATCCGTGTGCTCCTCCTCCGAGATCATTCCTCATCCGTATACGAGTATGTACAATGAAATCAAACAATTCAATCATCGACAATTGTGATCATCTTGCTGCTTGAGCTGAGACCCCAGAAAGAGGTTGCTGAACGAACTCTCGCTGCACCCCACTTTATGTTCAGTCCTCGTCCTGATCGTCGTGGTGGTAGTCTGGTCGTGGTGGTTCGAACTTGTTCAGTTCAGGGCGGGTTCAACACAGACTCGTTCCTGTACCTCCGTGCTGATTCCCCCTAGCCAACAACATACATCACACAGACCCGCCCTAAACTCACCTGATCGCGCCGAGAGCCGTACCGTAGTAGTGGCATGATTTGAATTGGCTTTGAGTTGTGTTCAATCAGTCGTATGTGTGAGTGTTGAACACTGCTCTCAGTTCAGACGTGCGTAGCGCATTTGTTGCTGCTTTTTCGGTCATCTCTCATTTATAGCTTAGTTGTTGAGTTGTTTGTAGGTGTTGTGAGGTCTCACATACTGTAATCGTTACCTAAGTTACCAATGCTAACCATTTCAGTACCGGCGCAGAACAGATGGAACGCACAACCGCCATATCACCTCGCCACCAGATCAAGGGAAGACGACGCTTATCACGAAATCAATGAGTATCACTCAAATCGACCGCCATTAGTGAAAGCAACAGCAGCAGTACCACCACCACCCACGACAGCAGCACCACAACCAGTACCACCACCGTACATCGGTCCTCACGCATCGCCTCCTCGTCACAACGCTATGGGAATTCGTAACTCGTCACCACAGAGCTACGTCACCGAATTCACACCGGCCTACCCGACCACACAGCCGCCTTCACATCCACCTGGAAGGAACGGTAGGTTGTACAGTAACTATTGGCGATACCGTTCTATACGATCTCCTTTCCAGGATCTGCCACATCGTCTCAGAACGGCGGCTATTACTCATCTAACAGCTCCGGTGTTGGTGCTCCCGCTTATCAGCACAACCAGGTGAGCCCGGAGGCGTTTCTCATAACCCGATCCATGACGAAGCATCGTAGCATTAGTGGTGAATAACTCAGCACAAGGGAAGTAATATCGTATGAAGCTGGAGGTACCCGGCACACGGACAACCCTGCGTTGCATCCTCGCATTTAGCCAACGAATGAGTTTCCCATATCGATACCGTCCCATATTCCACCAGCTACCGATCACATAATGGCTGGTGTCTAATGATATTGGTTAATTTTACCTTCTGCTCAACACACCCAAAATACAAAATACCCCTTCAGAAGTGCTCAGATACGATCCCTAACCTCGTTGAGAACTGCGCAACGCACGGTTGACCCTAAACCCGACAGGAGGCCCATCGCACGGCGAGAAGGCAGGGACACAGACTGGTCAGCGGACGAGTCGCAGCGTGTGTGGTGTGGTGTAGGGCGTGCAGTGGCACACTGTTTTCAACTTGACGCGAAATCACTACGGTACGCGCTGCGGCTCGCCCGCTGTCCCATTTATGCTTCTGCTTTCATGCCGCGCGACGGGGCTCTTGTCTGAAAAACAGGGCCCAATCGCTCGCAGTCGCGCTGCCGCCTTCGTGTGACGTAATGTGCGGCGGACAGTTTTCTTAGCGCCACAATGTCGTGCAACTTCGCCGCGCGCGGCGAGCGGTTAATTTACGCGTTGTGCACTGGATTGAAACAGAGTTAGCCGATGTTTTACCGTCTGCGCTGTGGCCTTTCGCGGTGGGCCACATATCAGAAAGTTCAAGTGTTCTCCTGTATTCAAGCCGGTGGAGTGCGAGTTCTCTTCCAAAACCCTTCGGAGTTCTCCACAGTGGAGGAGAAGGTTTGTAGCGCTTAACAAAGCCACTGCCTCGGGCTCGTGTTGGTATACATCCATTGTACCATGACGCTGACAATGAAAGTCTGTGGGCGCAATCTGACAACAGGAAAAGACTAATCTTCTGGGCGAACCTTTTGTGCAAGGCTCACGTACTATGGGGTTGGAGTGCGGCCCTTTCGCGGGCGAATCATCCTGAACAAAGTAACACCTACAGAAATGTGCGATTTTCTGTGTTGACCCTCCTCTGGACCTAGCACAGCAGCCTCTTTCCCGCTATGAAACATCTTCAGATCTCTGCAAGGCGAGGTTCGATCGTCGGTCATCAGTCTGCCTCGTCGCGAGCGGCCTCCATAGCTGACGACGACGAAGATGACGGTTTCTACGATAACATCGGAACGGTGAGTTTATCGGAATAGTATCTTGTTCTGGCCCATAAATATCTGTTTTTCTCCAGTATGACGATCGACGGATCTCACGAAGCAGTGAAATGGACGTAGCTTCGTTGTCCTCACACCAATTACCGCCTACTGGCTGGAAACCCACCAAGATTGGCTCATTCCTCCGGAAAATCGGCGGCGGCAATCGACCACCAGGCAGTGCCGCCAGCCTTGTCTCACTGAACAAGGTAGGCTAAACATTTAAAGATATTGTAATAAGAATAAGCTGAGCGTAGTGTGAGCATTTCTCTGAAACTTTTCAGGTCGCAAACGAGACGCCAATCAAGCAAGGGAATCTCATGAAGAGTAACAGTCTGAGCAATGAGCCATGGAAGAAAATGGTGATAGACAATCCAAGTATTCCGAAAAGAGAACGTGAGTTCTTCGCTTGGTCTCAAATTCATTTTGTTACAGAGGGCAGCGGTAAAAATTCTATGAAATAGTAGCGACCTGGGTGACCGTGTTCCCAAATTTATTAGCAGCACTGGAACGCTCATTTTTTACGTATGCCCATGGCGATAGGTTCTGGTTGGCGCACTCGTTATCGACGCGGATGATCAGTTCCGATAGGAAGCTTTTACAACATGGCGGGGGTCTTTTTTGATTTTTTGGGAAAGTTGTTCCCTGCTGGAATGTAGGAGGGGTCGCTCCTGAAGATGTGGTTTGAATAGGAAGTTCCAGAGTCGCCGACAATTATTATTCCCTCTTCTTCGCTCCTTCTCATAGACGAAGATTTTAGTGCAATAAAAGTCTTATAAAAAGTTCTTTATCACCAAAGGCAGTGACTACGGTAATTTGAGATTGATCACACTTGAAATCAGAGGCGCCGAATGGTGCGGCAAAATGGAACAAATAAGCAGAATTGGTCAAAAACATGAGAAATGAAGCCCGCAGTCTGCCCATCAAATTCGGTAGAGTTTATGTGTTACGTACAGACTGCTTGAGTCAGAGTGTCCCCATAGAAAACAATGACGTCAGGATTAGTGGTAGGGCCGTTTGTTACTGACTGCTCTCAAAATGAATTTGAAAGAAGATGATAAGCGGTCCCACAAAACCGCCTGTTTGGGGTGAAGCGATTTGAAGCGGTACGATTTTCAGGTCTAAAGCCCAGGGTGAATAGCGGTCAAGAAGTTTCTCGACCATGGCTTGCGAGAACAGTGCCGAGAGTGGACGTCCAGGCTGCTCGCGCATGGCGAATCTCGACGCGGGAGAGCATAACGGACCGGGAAATCCTCGACAAGCCGTTGAGGAATCCTAGACCGATATTCACCCTGCTTAGGGCTAGCTGCCCTCCAATAGAGTCATTCGGTGCAATTCTTCCTGCTAAGCTACCGCTTCCACATGCGCATGAATTTCCCTGTTGCAGGCTCACCTTATATCTTCCTTACGGCCTTAGCCCTTGCTGTAAGGCTGTTTTTTGGCTGCCGGAATTCAGCGCTCGCCATGCGTGTCTGTCGCGACTTTAGCGCGCTACAATTTTCAACCGCTGCATAGTAGACGTGCAGATTTGTCGCCTACGGCAAGCGACTGATTTGCACAGCATGCTGAAAAAGCGGTCTCCCCTACCACTGAAATGACGGAGCAACGTGGCGCGCGGTCGCAATGCGACCTTCACCAAGATGGGTCGATGCGTAAGGCCGCAGTAGTTGTTCACCAATTCCCCCATTTTCTCCCAACACGTATAGCATGCACAGAAACTGAGAGGTACAGTTTTGATGGAGTTGTATTTCAGCCACGCCAAGCAAAGGAGGACTCGGTGCACGTCTGAAGAACTCTATTTTCGGCTCAAAAAAGCGGCTTAACGGCTGAACGGAGGAGCCGCTGGGATCTGATATGTCTGCATCTTTAACTGCTCGTTTCATTTCTTTATTTTATTTTGCAAATTTATTTTTTTCAAATATTTCGCCCACACACCTCTTTATTTCAAAACGCTTCTTTGTTTCTGTTTCCAGTCAGTACTTTTTGCACATGTGCGCAATTTATACTTCCTCTGCGTCTCTGCCATTGCCAATC